TCAGTATTTATTTTTTACATCACCCCATAGACCAAAAGAAATAAGTGACTTCTCTGTTTAATAAGTAGTATACAAATAATTTAATAAGATTAATACTAAAATAAGCATAAAAAAACATAAGTTGCAAAAAATATTTTACTTCATTTTTAAATAACCAGAATGAATTAACTGGCATGTATGCATCCTGTTCACTGTACAATTTCTTAAACCTTGAAATGAGATTAGACACCATCACTCACCTTCATTTCCTGTTCTACACTGATTTTGTATAGTATCTGGTGTTTATCACAGCAATCTCAAAAAAAGCAGATTCACAAACATGATGCCACAGAAAAATATGTAATACCGCTTAAAAATGTTGAACCTATGTTTGTCTTCATGTTCATTTTCTATACCACATCCAACAAAGGTAGAATAGAACTGTATTTACCTCCAAAAATTTAAATATTTTATGGTTCTCCTATGCCTTAGCTGTAGCACAGCAGAGTATCTGGGTACCCAGTTTGGGAATCACAGCACTCTAGTTTTATGTTCCAGCAGCTACACAAATTAGCCACTATTTTAATTACTGATAAGTAAAATTAATTACTATACTTTTAAAGATCCCAAAATAATTTTCTATGCTATTTGGGAAACCTGTTTTTCTTTTGAACAATAAAAGGAACCCTACTAAATCCTTCTAAAAAGATTTTTTTTTTCAATTTGAAGATGATTATTGCCTTAATGTGATTATTTTTATAGATTCTGTATTAAATTTGGTAAACTAGAGAACCACGCCTGCTCCCGACCCAGCAGCCATCACTCAAGCGCGGGAAGGTAGGCTGGGCCTGATCCACCTCAGGAAGGAGAACCACGCCTGCTCCCGACCCAGCAGCCATCAATCAAGCACCGGGAAGGTAGCCGCGCGGGCACCCCTGAACCCCCATAAGCTCCCCCCCACCCGCACTCTCAGACCTCCTGACTGTGCCAGTCTTTGGACCCACTCTGCCAAGACAGAGGTGGTCATTAAGGGTATTTTTCTGAGTTCCCAACTTTGAACATCTTTAAAGAAAGGGCGTGGGAAACCTGTAATAGAACGTGGCAGAGTTCAACCATTCAGAAGGATGGGGAACTCAATCTGGGCCTTGCAGCGCGAGGTCAGTCAGCGTCATGGGGTTCAGCAATCAGCTAACTGAGATCAGGGGTCTTGCATCCTCACTCTGTCTGAGCGCTAT